AGGATTACAGGCGTGAGCCACCGTGCCCGGCCTTAGTTCTGACATTTTTGAGTCCACAATTCATTTCCTTATCTTATGGAGCATGAAAAACTCAAGTACTGAATCGAGTAGCTTTACTTAAGGACAAATTCAAGAAAGAGATTTTTTGTAAACTTTAATTGAGAGATAACTACAAGAAGAGGATCAAAGGAGGTGTTGACTGGGGGTCAGGATGGGTTATGTGGTTGGCTTACCGGATTCTGCTAAGTCAAGTCTTTGTATTATGGCAGTGTGGGGTAGTGTAAAGGCTGCTGACTTATGTTTGAATTATTTCTTTGCCATTTATTATAAGCTGTGACTTTGGTCACATCAAAGTAAACATTACCCTATGATTTTAGTTTTCGGTTTGAATCTAATTCTCAGAATTATTATAATCCATATATATTACAAATTACAAATATATTGCAAATATACTACCAAATATATTACAAATCACAAATTTTGTGATTAAAGCATTCTTTCACTCCTATCTGTTACATAGTTTACTATGAGCAATAAAATTAAATTACCATCACTAAAACCAGTTTGGGTCTTTAGCTATATTTGAAACTTCTGTAGGAGTGTATATACAATAGTATGTAATTAATGTAGATGCTTCAGGGAGTCTGTTAATGCCCCTCAAATCTCAAAATTCTCAATAAATTGGAAATAGTAGATTATTTGATACTAGCGTAGATCAAATTAAGTTTGTGATTTCTCAATATTTGTTGCTTTTGATCACAGATTCTTGAGACTATGCCGATGACCGAGAAAGTTGAAGAACTGCTGCATGTCATCGGCCCATTTTATGAAATTGTAGAGGACAAAAAGACTGGCCGGAGTCCTGATGTAACCTCAGGTTGGACTGTTTTACCTATTTTTCAATTCAGCAGCTGATACATTATGCATGCATTAATATTTATATGTCTAATGTTTTCTTTTACTTTCACATGCTAGTCCGACTGGAGAAAATCTCTAAATATTTAGAAGGTAGGAATAATGAAAAACATGTAAAAATTTTGTCCAAAATTTACATATCAGAAGAATTCTACACAAATTTATAGAATTTATAATCTTGTCATCCAGGAGTGTTCATTCTAGGCAAACACATTGTATGAAGTTCCAAAATACTATAAACCCGATAAATTTTAACCATTAAGTGTACAATATTATTAATAAAACATGACAGGTGATTCACTTAGTATATACAAAGTTATAATAGAATTCATGGTTTAATTTTGATAGATTATATTTTCTATTTTGCTTTAGGAATTATATTAATATTACCATGGATTAAATGATTTTCTAGCTACTTTTAAAATAGATATGTTTACGGTATGGTTTAACTATAATCTAGCAAGCTAAAACAAGACATCAGCTTGGTTTTTATTTTTTAGGGTATTGTATTCATGTTCTCAATGAAGGATTAAAACAGTTATGTTTCGCATCCTAGTAGGAGTTGAATAAAATGCAAACTTTGCTGGTACTAACTGTAAACATTTGTTCCTTAAATTGTTTTAGAAAGCAGAGTGAAACGACAGCACAAGAGTAAATTTAAATGAAAATTGTATGCACTTTAAATAAAAATCAGCCTGGCATCCTTTTTTTTTCTTTTTCTCCAGCATCCCTATTTACAAGGCATCTTTTAATAATTGACAGAAATTGCAGCGTTTTAGAACAGTAATCTTCCTGTACTGTAATATTGTAATATGGCCTTGTAGTTTGTGCGTGTCATGGTTATAAACCATGTGCAGCTGATAGTGACTGCTTACAGGGCATGACTCTGTTAGAGGAGTCAAAGATTAACAGATAGTTCTTATAGTTCACATTTACTCAATTCAGAAAAAAAAATTAAATGTTTTCTCTTTGTCAAGCATGTTTTTAGGATACAGAGGGGAATACACTGGACCTGCTTTTGCAGTGTCTCATCTGCTGGCCAGAGGCATTTATTTAAACAACATATTACAAAACAAAGAAGAATCAATAATGGTAATAAAAGGCACAGGTCCGCAGTTACTTAGCTATAACTTAAACATCCCAAACGCTTTGAAAACCAGCATTTTTTGATAACTCATTTGGCAGCAAAACCTGTCTGATGAGCTAATTGAGGAACAAAACTGACCTGAAATGACATGAGGCTATTTTGAATCTTTATCCTATTTAGTGTAACTATTCATATATTTTGCTGCAAAAGTTTTATTTTCTTTTTTTAGTGAGAGTTGCCTTAGGCTCTATTGGAGATGTTACATAATATACCAAATGGCATATGTACCATATGACCTTCGTAAAATTAGAAAACTTGAGATTTCAAAACAGATCTGGGTCCAAGGGTTGTAAATAAGGATTGTGGACTGCACTGTAAATTCAGCCTGAACCATTCTGATGGACATTTAGATTATTTCCTCTTTTGCTTATCAAAAAATGCTCCTGAGAAATTGTACATATGTGAAAGTATATCTATAAGAAATAATAGATACTGACTTAAATCTCATTAAAAAAACAGAAATGGAATTAGAAGTGTTTGATG